GTGTAGTAACCGGTGACGAGCCGGCCGGCGGTCGCGTGCCCGTACCATCTAAATCACTGCGAGTTACTGTACTGTATTGCGACCCGCGATCCTATCGCTGATAAACCTTCTGTATCTCTCAGTTTGACGCAGATACCATCACTCACTTTATTAATGGCCAGTGACATAGACAAGGGAAGATTTAAGCAGGCCAGGTGTCTATGCCGTGAAAATTCTCTGCAACTATACATAGTTTTGAATACTATAGTAAATTTGTAACTAGAATAGCACTATGAATATAACGTCATATCCATAATACCTTTAATATATCACATAGAGAATTTAAAAACTGTCAAAATTATTTATACAAAACTTCAGTGCGAATCTAATTAAATAATATTAATAACAACCCAGTATAGTACACACAGCGCCATTTAGTCTCAAGCTTACAATCAGTAGTGTCGATAGTTTACACTTTTATTCAAATTCAACTTCAAAATATCTTTATTCGTGAGATCTATTACAGACTCTTATGATATATCGAATCTACCGTCAGTTCGGAATGATTTCGAGATGAGAAGAACTGTCAAAAAACTCGGCTCGTATTCTTAAATAATGACTCGTATTCATTAATAATAACCAATAATCTATTTCTTCACATTATTAACCTTTTGTATCTCTCGGTTAGATACAGATATCACAACTCACTTTATTAATGGCCAGTGACATAGACGAGATGAGAAGAACTGTCGAAAAACTCAGCTCGTATTCTTAAATAATGACTCGTATTCTTTAATAATGACCATCTTCTATTTCTTCACATTATAAACCTTCTGTATCTCTCGGTTAGATGCAGATATCACAAGTCACTTTATTAATGCTCAGTGGTGTAGACAAGGGAAGATTTAAGCAGGCCAGGTGACCGTGACAGGTTACCGTGAAAATACTCTGTTATATATACATAGTTTTACATACTATATAAAATATGTAGTATATATCTTCTATAGTATACATATACTCAGCAGAGTTGAAAGTTTGCATTTTAAAATTAACATTTTTTTTAGAATATACATTTCTTCAAAGATTATTAAATAATAAGTATTAATCACCATTCTAAACACTAATATATTTATGCGTTTTGTATAATAACATATTATATACCCTATGTCAGTCTGAAATAATGTAGTTTTCAAACAGTCAAATCTTTTCTCAAATTAGTAACGGTCTGTAGTTTACTGTACCCATAATAATAAACAAAATCTGCATTCGTCTGTTCTTTTAAGATTAAAAAATATTACAACAATAATAAAATGCAAAAGAAAAAAGATAACATTAAATAAATAAATGTACAGTGCAGCAAAAATTATCTGATATTATACGATAAATAGAGAGAAATCCACACAAACACGATCTATCAAAAACGTGTACCTTGTCAAAATAACAAATTACTAGTGACACATAAAGATGTAGTTACAGTTTATTAGTAACATCAATGCGACACAGTTCTTTCTCGGCTTTACAAACCGTTAAATGTAACTTTTATTGCAAATTCCGCAGATATCTCAACAGTATTATAAGTTCTAGTTGAATCAGTTCACGTATTTTTTTTAAAGGTAGAATTCTAAGTTGTATGTTATGTTTTGTTAATTGTATTCATAAATCTAAATATGTATATATAACTCAAAGGTGACTGACGTAGTGATCTATCAACGCACAACCCAAACCACTGGACGGATTGGGCTGAAATTTGGCATGCAGGTAGATGTTTTGACGTAGGCATCCGCTAAGAAAGGATTTTGATTATTTCTACCCCCAAAGAGATAAAATAAGCGATGAAATTTTATATAAAACTTTGTTAATTTTAAACCGATCGGGCTGAGACTTTTCATGCATAAAGCTACTATGACGTAGGCATCCTCTAAGAAAGGATTTTGATAAATTCCACCCCTAAGGACGGCGAGCGAGCGAAGCCGCGGGCAATAGCTAGTTTGTCATATAAATGTCGTAGTTGCCTATAATTAAGGTTGCGCTTAGTATAATAAATACATTGTAATGTATAATATATAATGTAACTATGTTGGTGTAAACCTTAAATTTAAAAAAAAACTAAAAAAAGTATTGGTAACCTAATAAATAAAAAAAAATTAAGATTGAACGTTCGGTACGTTACTGAAACTGCTCGCACCATGCTGCAGCGCACACAGTACAGTTATATAAAAAAGCGCGTGATATTTCATAGAACGTCGTATATAGGAGGTTACATTAACGCCATCGCGAGCGTGCAGTAGGTGGGACCGTGTGGAATGGTGGTGGTGAAGTGGTGGGTTTTGATGGTGGGATCGCTGTCCCCCACCATCTCACTGCATTACGATTGCATGGTATTTACGCGACGCATTATGCGACTTTTTACTGATGTCCGACGCCAGTATTCTATGTATTTAGATGGATGATTGATCGTTATGAGATTTTATTTTATTTATTGCATTACAAACGTTATTATTATATATATATATATATATTAACCCTGGATTATTAACACAGCGCCATCTAGTCCGACGGCAAGCAGAGCTTCTGTTATGGGTACTAGACAACTGATATAAATAATTAGATTTTTTTGTAAATACATACATAATTTACATAGAAAACACCCAGACCGATACAAACAATCATATTCATGAATATAAATATTTGCATCGAGCGAGGAATCGAACCCGCGACCATTGGAGTCTAGTTCCCAATAAACAAGCTCTGCTTATCGTGAGACTAGATGGCGCTGTGTTAATTGACCAGGGTTATATATATATTATATATTTCATGATTTTCAAATCAATTCGTTAGGATGGCACTGTAAATCCGGCAATTAGATAAGTTGTTAAAAGCAAGTAATCAAATAAACAAAGTTTTGAATATTACATGTAATATGGGTAATATTACATGTAATATTCAAAACTTTACTGCATATTTTTAATAAACCGTAAAAAGCAAGTAATTCAAACATGACAACCCATACGATATGTATGAGTTGTTATGTTTTGTAATGACATATTGTAAATTAAATAATGTAAATTTAATATTGTAATAGGTGAAAACTGTGATCGGTACAGCCTATGCTGTAAATAATATAATTGACGTAGTGGGGTAACCTGAAACAGTCATGCTCGCTATAAAGTTCAAACTTGTGGCGGCGTGGTGGGCCGGGTCGATGTGCTCCCTCAAATATGGTTGAGTACAATGATGGCTGGCTCATACGTCATACTCGTGAACGGGTGCTGCTTGTGGGGACTGGTCTGTTCAGGTTGTGAACACTGATTAATTTTTTTGTTCTTTGCGATAGCATATGCATATGCCGGTGGTCACTCTATTCTCCCAAATTTGAATTTTAATAACTGTATTTATCATAAACATGTTCCACTATTATTTGAAAAAAATACGAGCTGAGTTTCTTGTCAGTTCTTCTCATCTCGATATCATTCCGAACTGACGGTAGATTTGACATATCATAAGAGTCTGTAATAGACCTACATGAATAAAGATATTTTGAATTTGAATTTTGAATTTATGTTTATATGTTTGATGTAAATGTGTATAATATTTAAAATTTTACTATTTTCCGTTTATGTGACAATGATAGTTCATTGCACAACACTGGGAACAATATTACATATATATACATACAGCTTACAAGAGTAGTGATGTGCCTAGAGCTGGAACACAACTTGTAATTAAAATTAGGAATAATAGTGATAAATGTGTATATTTCCCAAAAGAGCTCACTAAGAAGTGACAACTAGTCAAAAGTGATGTAACAAATAGACATCAAAAATACAAAGTTTAAAAAAAGAGTGGTACACAAGCTGCCAGCAACAAGTGATGTGACCACTTACACAACAATTATAGACTTATCGACACGCGGCACTGTGTGACAATCGTCTCATGAGACCTGTCACATTGCCACGATAAAACAAGCAGGCGTTTGTTTTTGCAGCCATTTTGTACCGACTGGCAATGTTATCTATTGAATAATGGATCGTAATGGAGAATAGTTAAAGATCTGTCAAGTGATCAATATACATTACTTTCTTTTAACAATAGGAACGTAAAAAATTGATAAATAAATAAAATTATATGTTATGACTATGTACCTGACCCGCTGCTATTTAAATAAAGGTGGATGGTAGAAGGATAAAAAATTTGGTTTATCTGTTTTATGCTTATAATGATAAACAAAAAATAAAATAGTTTTATTTTAAAAAAAGTAAAAAAACATAGTGTGTATCTCCATTATCTCTTAGGGATATGAGAAATCATTTACGTACTATTCTCAGATTAACCGAATATACGCACAAAAATTCATAAGAATCGGTAAAGTCGTTTCGTAAGATGTTACAAGCACTGTCACACGAGAATTTTATATATTAAATATCATGATTCTGATATTTACGTTTGATTTCAGAAATGAGATGGCTCTCAATTAAATATAGATTTATACGTACCTTAATAAACGTTCCTCAGTTCTGATCTGATTTTAATAACACTGTTTTAGCTTGAAATAGGGCTCAACACTAAATGATATAGAATAAGTATTACTTAAAAAATATCAATAAAGTTATTCTGTTTTAATTAATATTAAATCATAAAGAACCAAACTGATTATCGATTATAAAAAAAAGCATTATAATAAGTCAATTTTTATTTTTGTCACCAACTGCGATATTTAATAATCGAAGCGATTGAAGATTTTTTTTATAAATGTATCTTATAATTACACAAACACCCAAAATACAATTTGAATTAAGAACGTCGTAATTTCTGAACTCACTTGAAAATAACTGTATGCGCCTATATTCCTTAGCCTGTCACATCGTAAAAAAAATACCACAGTGGAGGGTATTATTGATATTAAAATTTACGATTGCCAATTAATTTAAGCGACGTAAAATACGACATTTCGTACAAATAAAGACATTTAGTTGCTGTAATTAAAGATAATTAACGCTTAACGTTAATTGTTCTTGAATAATATGGAAAGAACAGCTTTTGGCAATAAAACTGTGAGTATTTTTATTTGTTTTTACGTCTGAGACAAAAGTAAAATGTACTTTTTGTCAGTTGTGTTATATTATAGTTGAATTTGCCTCGAATTGTTTTTTTTAAATGTTTCATTTACATAAATCTATTGTTTTTTAATGAATATTATAATTGTAATAATGTATTTTATAATTAGTTTTACCTTTTCACTACAAAATAACTGAACGGAGCGTAATTAATGCAATTTGATGTCAAATATAACGATGATTTACATCTATACATTTTAATTTATAATATAGGTATGATTGCTTGTTTGTCTGTCTATTTGTTACATTTTCACGATTAAATGGCTGTAAAGGTATGGATTTACTCAAATCAAAATGCACTACAGATCATAATAAAATTTAACATGAAGTATGATTGAAGAATATCTGAAAAAGTAGACGAAGTGGCAGGAAATAACTAGTACAAATATAACTAAGAGTTCAGTTAATTGTTCAGTTTCTCTCGCTCCTCGTCGATCTGTATGTGTATTAGTATGGTAGCTTGTCTGTGTGTCTGCTCGTTACATTTTCACGACTAAATGATTGTATAATAGTAAGAGCCCATTCAAGTAATAAAACGCACTACGGATCTTAATAAAATTTAACGTGAAGTATGATTGACGAATATTATCCCAAAAAAGTAAACGACGTAGTGGGGAATAACTAGTATAGATATAGCTAAAAGGTCAGTTCAAATAACTGTACATTATATCTGTTCTATTATCATCAGTTTTTGTCGTATCTCGTCCTCCTGTATGCGTATTAGTATGGTAGCTTGTCTGTCTGTCTGTTCGTTACATTTTCATGACTGAACGGATGTATAGTGGTATGGATCCGCTCACGTAATCCTGAAGAAGCCGTGGCCTCACAACGAAAACGAATTCTTGGAACGGTGAAGTTGCTTAGTGAAGCCTGTAAAGAGACCAGGAGACTTATGCGCTTTTGTGAGGAGGCTGGCTAATTTAGTAGTCTCTGCTGTACGTACGTACAAGGGCCCAAATGAGAGGCACATGGCGGAAAATGAAGTCCAACTTACATTTTACATTTTACATACATAGTTGTATGCATTCACTCAAATAAATAAAATACACACTACGAATTGTAATAAAAGTGAACGTGAAGTAAGATTGAAGAAGATTATCTCAAAAAAGTAGACGAAGTGGCGGAAAATAACTAGTACAGATATAACTAAAAGTTCAGTTAATTGTTGAGTTTTTGTCGATCCTCGTCCTCCTGTACTACCGGACCTGATAGTCAACCGCCTTCTATTACCTCAAAAAAATAGACGAAGTGGCGGGAAATGACTAGTACAGATAAAACTAAAAGTTCAGTTAATTGTTGAGTTTTTGTCGATCCTCGTCCTCCTGTACTACCGGACCTGACAGTCAACCGCCTTCTATTACCTCAAAAAAATAGACGAAGTGGCGGGAAATGACTAGTACAGATATAACTAAAAGTTCAGTTAATTGTTGAGTTTTTGTCGATCCTCGTCCTCCTGTACTACCGGACCTGATAGTCAACCGCCTTCTAAATATGACAAGTTCACCCCAACAAACAATTCTCAGAAACTATTCAGGTCCATTGAACAAGTTCTCAGAATCGGCGGCCAGTACATCGGAACTCCAATTGACGATGTCATACTACTGTTTCTCAAAGTGTGGTGCTTGGGGTACACCAGTTGATGGTAGGGGGTAGGTAGGTAGGTTACTGTAGGCTGACTAGATTTACATAATGTATACTTAGATAATTCGCATAGTTGTTTTAAACGTAATGTTAGCTGGTGGAATATTGCAATGCTTATGTTGTTGTATTATTGAAATAAAAGATGTTTAGATTGTATTTTATACTAAATTTGATAGTGACGTCACGGAATGTTCAAGAATAAGTGAAGAAAATGTATATAAAGTTAAACAAAACAATATCGATGTTCCATGCGTGACGTTCCAAATTTGAATTTTATAATTTTATTTTTAAATGTATTATATGGCTATTTGCGATCGTAAACACGTAATATACTGGATGTCTACGAAGGTAATTAATATTTTGTTAAAAATCGTTTGCTTTGCTACCTCTGTATCATCTATTTTAACCTCTAAGCTGCTTGCTATGATAGCAGTGTTGATAGCAGTGAAATTACAATAAGTCCTTCGAAATAACAACGTTGACGAATACATGCTTGATGTATATAGACGACAGAATGGAATGGAATGGAATAAAATAAAAATTATTTATTTAAATAATAACTACAATTTCAACACTTTGGAATAGTCAAGTAATATTTATTTTCGGACAGTTGTCTCATCATAAGAACGAGCATAAAACTTGCGTTGCTTTTTTAAATATAGTTCTTACTTACATAAAAAACAATAATTAAAATTAAAATTAAGCAACATATCTACGATAACCGATTTGCCTTAAAATACAAGTACAGCCATCATACTAAATTGGAGAAACAATAGAATTAACATTTATCTATTACTGTTTTGTACTCATTTTTCAATAAAATACCTTATTTGTTCTATCGATAATGCGTTATTTTATCATCAAGAAAGCCTATTATAGAGCGTGGACTCAATACGTTTGAGAAACTCTGCTACATGACTTATTAAGTTCAAATATTTTCCACGTATTTCGACCAACATTAATGGAAAAATGTCCCTTTTTCTGCGTAGCTGGTTAACATTTAAGACGACAGTTGTATGTGAATAAAAAAAATGTTTTAGTTCAACAGCCAACGTCCGAGGGTCGATAGATTCGTGGCACCGAGGGCCTCTTTCCCGGAATTGCGCAGGCGCACCTTGTCTACATGGAGTTGGGAACCACCGAACACCGACCACTGGGTATGACTAGCATATTTAACATCATATCACTTACTTTGACGGCCTCGGTGGTCTTGCGGTTTAGCTTCTGATGGTCGAGAGTTCGATACCTCGCACGGTAAAAAAATATTCATGAGTATGATGCAAACAGGTTTACGTGTTTTCTATGTATATTATTTATATATTTACAAAAAAAATGTCAATTGTCTAGTACCTATAACACAAGTTCTGCTTAGCTTGGAACTAGATGGCGCAGTGTAAATTGTCCAGGCAATTGTTCTGCTATTATTGAAAGAATAAATAACTTCCAATGAACTCTGAGTGAGTTACTTATACTTATATTCCACAAATGTCATCAAAGATCGCTAATCGCTATTTAACGATAAGGCCGCCAATTGTTAATTACGTTTTTATATGTATATAGGTAATATGTTTTATATTTATATTATATTTTTTCATATAATTTTTATTTTTATTTATAGCACAGGGGAAAAACAAGCTTGCGGCTCACCTGATGGTAAGTGATTACCGCCGCCTACAAGCACCCTCAACACGAGGGAAATGCAAGTGCGTTGTCGTCCTTTTAACAAGGAAAAATCTCTTTCCGTGAGGATTTCAATATAGTACAGATTTGAAAATACCATTACTGGAAGGTGTTTCCACGATGTGGTTGTATTTTCTATGACAGGTATTGCTTTCATAGAAAATAAACTATTTTTTCATTTCTTTTCACAAATAATTTTTACATTTGTTACGTTCACAGTACACCAAATATATAAAACAAAAGAAGTATGTAAACTATCTGGATGACGCCTTAAAATTGGAGCCGTTGAAGCGGCAAGAAGACAAGGACTCCATGAAGAAGGAGGCCTGGCCCTGTATACCTAGGAAAAAGAGTTACTTGTCATCAGCCGACAGCATCCTAGATCTTCCAACATATAGCTTTGCTGCTTGTGAGTTCTATTAATTTTACTGATCCTATTATTATTGTTAACGAGATTTTATTTTAATATAAATGAATGGATGTTTGATATTTTAGATTATAATTTATTATTATATTCCTTATTTTTAGTTGCTTGGCAGTAAAATTACGTAATGAAACATATAGACATAACATCTTAGTCAACGCATGAGTATCTATCCGGATTCTAGGTGACGGTTACTACTTACCATTGTATGGGCTAATCTTGCTTACCATCCTTTTTTTCGCATAGTGTACAAACCAGCTTGCGGTTCACCTGATGGTAAGTGATTCCCGCCGCCCATGAGCACCCGCTGCACGAGAGGAAATACAACTGCGTTTCGTGCGGCTTTTAAAAAAGATAAGCTCTTTCTTTGAGTGTATCAATATCGTATCGGATCGAAAACACCGGAAGGTGATTCCATAATGTGCGTTGTGAATGGCAAACATTTCAATGAAAAATGTTTAGCTAAAATATAATTGTTGACAGTTCCAGATTTACTGGATTGGAGTAACGATAACATCCTGGTAGCAGCCCTGGGCAGGCACTACCACAAATGGAGCTGGCGGTCGCAGAAGCTCATCAGCGAGGGTCTGGCCCAGTACGACATTCAATGTTGCAAGTTCGATCCTCGCGGTGAAATGCTTATAGTAAATTATATTTATTTTCTTTTGTTGCTTAATTACTTTAGGTTATTAGTACTTAAGTAGTAATTTATAATTAACTAGGAAGAAAGAATCATTCCATCTAATATAAATTACATATATTAAAATCCGTTCAGGCGATTTAATGTAAACAACCACGTTCAAATTTATTATAAATAGCTGACCTGCGCATTTTCAGCGCTTTTGCAACATTTTTAATTGCTGCTCTGCTCCCATTGATCGTCGTGTGATGTTATATATATATATAATTAGCCTTTCTCGATAAATAGGTTATTAATAGGTATTGAATAGAGTTCTGGGTTAGGCATCAGTCGCAGTTCAGTTGAATTGTCAACCAAGCCTAGTTTCCGCACTGAATATTTGTGTTCGGCGACCAAAACGCGAATCGTGGTTCTTCTGATAGTTCGTCAAATTGTTTGCTATTTTAATTATACTAAAATTTAAATGTAATGTTTGCAGTTAGGAACGTATATGAAAACTGTCGAAATTCACGACAGCAGCACAAGTAAGAAGGTGAACAGCAACCGCTGCCAGTGTATCACGCTTGGCAACGAGCACTGCACCATCACTAGTCTCGACTGGAGCCCTACTGGGAACTCCTTTGTAACGTGAGACCAATGATTTATATTTATTACTAGCTAACATATACAATTTCATCTGCATCACCCTTATCATTGGGCATGGGCTCCCTAAAATATGGTCGAGCGCAATGGTGGCTGGCTCATCCGTCATACTCGTGAACGGGTGCTGCTTGTGTGGACTGGTCTGCTCTAATCACTATGACTTATTTTCTTTTATTAATTGTTTAACCAGTTGTTGTATATTGAATGTTTTTTCTATTTTACTTTTTACTATTTCATTGAATTAGTGCTAATCGGTGGTTTGTATTCACACACTTAAACTTAAATTGTAAGTAAGAATAAATTATTTAAAAGAGCAACACACAAGTTTCTTTCTTGTTCTTCTTGTGATGAGACAGGATTCCGAATCAGCGGTAGATTAAAAAAAAATGTTATGACTATTCAAAAGTGCTTCAATGTAAGTTTATTTGAATAAATGATTTTCTACTCTATTCTATTCATTATATATATAACGCCCAATGTACATAATATCTTTTTAAATTATAGCCTATATGTTATTCTGATATATAAGTTTATTATTGTGAAGTTTCATCAAAATCCGTTTAGTAGCTTTTGCGTGAAAGAGTAACAAACATCCATCCATATTCACAAACATTCGATTTTATAATATTACTAAGATGCACTTGCCCAGGGACTCCTTTTGCTCTAGAGTTTATTAATTTATGTGGTTTTTTTATTAGTTCACGATCAAAGTTTACACCAATACAATTACATTATATATTACAATATATTTAATGTACTAATCGCAACCTTAATTATATACAACTACGTCATATACATATATGACAAAGTGCTTACAATTAATAAAACATCTTTAAAATTTTACCTTTAATAAAATAGGCAATATAAATTGCATAATGTCTCTCTGGAATAATTAATGCCTATGTCTAGCCTATGTCTCTCTGGAATAATTAATCTCATCACTTAATCGCATTCACCCCGATTTTAGGGTATTTTAAACAAAACGGGGAAACGTCATTAATTTATCTCTAGCAACGAAAATTTTGTAGAATAGGGATAAGGATTAGGTTAGGAAAATTATTCTAGATATAGTTTCAGGTTTATTTACATATTTGCCACGTAAAAGAGGTTACATTTCGCTCGTCAGTTACAAGATTATAAGTCTATAGTAAACATTAAGGTTAAGATAAATTTAAAATTGTAACTTTATTTTCTGTGAGAGGATCAATAAAGAGCTTCATTCATTCATTAATAATCGTAAAAATGGTTTAAATTCTTCATCTTCAGAGGTTGTTCCCGGGGAATGATGACGTCTTTCACCCGGAGCGCCTCTGTAATAAGCTGGAATCACATGCTGCGGGGCGCGGTGCTGGTCGTGCAGGTGTCCCCGGACGCGCGCTACGTGGTCCTTGCCGCTGTTAACAATAAAATCATCTACGTACTGAGCTGGCCTTCTCTCGTACTCATCTCTACTGTCGCCTCGGATTGGACAGTTACGGTAAACTATTATACTATTCATGCAACATCATCATCATTATCATCATCATCATCATCGTCACCATCATCATCATCATTATCACCACCACCATAAGCATCATCATCATTATCATCAGCCCACTGCTTATTATACAGGCCTTCTCGGCCGATCATTATTCGCAACCGTACATATGTTGTCGGACAAGTCTCATTCTCTGACATCGTGATAGCGGACTCCCCGCTTTCCACGCCTCACGCGGCTACCTATGTCCTCTCTCCGTCGCCACCAGGCATCCACGAAACGGTAAACCTTTTTAGTCAGTGAAAAATCCTAATACATCCCGTCTATATAGAGGTGTCACTTTAATAATACCTACATTTGTCAATAGACTCTGAGGTGGCATCCTTGGAGAAGTGCCCTCTTAGGCATCGGGGCAGTGAACCCTGACCTTAGGGCCACAGTCGCCATGTGGGATGCGCCTTCTGAGAAAGTACACGAAGCAAACATCGGCCACGACCAGTACAGCCTTGACGCGATGTTGTTCAGCGACAGAACTGGAGAGTTGGTGATCAGCTTGTGGAACTCGGGTATGACTGATTAATTCCAATAGAATAGAATAGAATAGAAAATCATTTATTCAAATAAACTTAATTTAAGCACTTTTGAATAGTCAACATTTTTTTACATCTACCGCGTATTCGGAAAGCTGTCTCATCACAAGAAGAATAAGCAAGAAACTTGTGTATTGCTCTTTTAAACAATCGTTGTAAGTTCACATTTTACAAGTCGAAACGTGTGAATACAAACTACTAACCAGCACTAATTTATTTAGGCTCAAATATAAAAACACAATAAGATTAAATCAGTCGTAGTGATAAGAGCAGACCAGTCCCTACAAGCAGCTCTCGTTCACGAGTATGACAATCTTTTAAATAGATAGAATATGCTTTATTTGTGTTACACAATGATAGAAGATACGATTAATAAGTAAATGTATAGAAAATAATAATAATAATATAAAACAAGGCAAACTTATTGCTCAAAGCAATTTTTTAAAGGCAATATAAAATATATTTATATATAATGTCCTTAAGACGGTGGAGATATTAATGGATGATATTGGAATGTTCTATGATTGTTTACGAATAAAAATGTATTTTGTTCTGTACCGATTTCATTACCCATTACCACATCTCACCTATGTATATATTTAAAATAGAAATACCCCTACAGACAAATTTTTACAAGTGTACCTGTAAGATGGTAACACAGATCATAAAATTGCTTCCACAGATACATCAGCGGTACAGCCGAAACCATGTTCGTATCTGGTGGTGCTTGGAGACGCCGATACAGTTGTGGACCACTGGGGCGAAGGTAGCAACGGCTTGGACAGAGTGCGGACAATGATCTTTAGTCCCGACGGCACTAAACTTGGTAAGATTTGATGGTTTCGTCATTATTAACCGACTTCAAGAAGAAGAAATTCTTATTTTAACTGTATTTTTCATGCAAATGTTACATTTGCAACTGTATATGTTAATATTTACGTATAGGTATTTAATCCTCAGTGGTTTAGCACACTGGCTTACTTTTGAAGGTCACGGGTTCGAGTCCTCGCACGGCACAAATTTTTGTATTCATGAGTATGATTGTTTGTGATTTACGAAAATAATATATCTCTGTATTTGTATCAGTTATCTAGTACCCATAACACAAGCTTTATCTAGCTTAACTTTGGTTTAAATGGCGCTGTGTGAATTGTCCTAAGATTATTATTATTATAGATTACTAGCTGTCCCGGCAAACGTTGTATTGCCTTAAAATAAAAAAAATAATTTAAGGATGGACTACCCCTAATATTTAGGGGGATGAAAAATAGATGTTGGCCGATTCTGAGACCTACTCAATACGCTCACAAAATTTCATGAGAATCGGTCAAGCCGTTTCGGAGGAGTATGGGAACGAAAACTGTGACACGAGAATTTTATATATAAGATTTGTATCAGTTATCTAGTACCCATAACACAAGCTCTGCTTAGCTTAGGACTAAACAAATGCTGTGTGTGCGTGTTACATGTACATATACAGATTCTCACAAGGAATAAATTGAAAGTATAAATATAATTTATTTACATTGTAAAATTCCTTGTGAGCAGTAAAATAAACATTATTATTAATATTATAATTTCACAATTCCACCACATACAATTGGTGGTTTTATAGTAATGACAAGGACGGGCTTATATGTATAACGAAGTCGCTCATTATCATTATTATTATACATATTTGCGTTCGTTATACATAATAATCAAAAATGAAAAAAAAATATCAATAAAAAAAATTATATAGTTTTTAAAATTATATTCTTTGGCCGTTTAATATCACTTTCCAAACATATAAAAAACAGATATAGTCTTTAAATTATGTTCTTTGTATTTCCAGCTACAGCAACAGCAGACGAGGACTTGATAATCTGGAACTTTCTACCAGAAAACAAGAAGAGGACAAGATGCAGACGGTTCTGCTCGATGCCTGTCTACCTTGATACGGCTATGCATGGCTACTCTGTACGATAGATTGTAGAAAACTAACTCGCTTATTCATAAAAAAAATCTATAAAACCATATCACAATTTGAATATTTTGTCAAATAAGTCATTTTTATTATTTATTCATTTATTTTGCGGAAATCCTTTTCGTTATATAATAAATTTATATTACTTTATTTAATTCCTCTTCCTTTGGTGACCAAATTAAAAATACGTACTAATTAAAATGCCATGTAATAATACTTTTTTCTGACTACTCCAATGCTGTTGGATGCAGCTGCCCTTTACAGCTTCACCGGACAATAGGGGGCCAGTGCATATGGCACTCCAAACCCACGGAAGGACTTATGGAGCGGCTGAAGGCCAACTCTAGCCTGACGGATATAACTTTAGTCTGAGGGCACTGTTAGGGGTTCGAACCTCAGCTCAGGCAGTCGTAATTTCAATCCCCGTTTGGATTGGACATAGGATCAATTCTAAAATGCTACTTAGCTATTGAGGAGACCTGGCATGAAACTCAACTGGTACTTTTTTTTGTATTGTATTTTTCAAGTATTTTTTTTTTTATAAATTTTATATATCTATTACAGACTCTTATTTGTTATTCGTAAATTTTAAATTTAGTTCGAGCCGAGAACTGAGAAGAAACTGCTCGCTTTTTAAATGAGATTATGAGTACATAATATATTAGAACTCAAATTTAGACTAAATACAGTGACCACCAGTACATTATTATGCTGGTACGAAATAATATCTAAATGCGAAATCATTTAATCAGCACTCATAACCTGAACAGACCAGTCCCCACTTTCTATCAAATCAAGAAAATTGCCAACAAAAAATTCTAAACAATAAGGGGGTTATTACACGTTTCACGTTTTTATGAATAAGAGAGTTACATTATGGACTTTCAAATTATTTACTTTTTAATTAATTTTTTTTGATGTTTAATAAGAATCTTTAAGTGTATACTATATTTATTGTTAGATTAATAAATAATTTTATTATGGATTATAAATATTTTATATTTAATAATAATATATATTCACGGCTGTTATCCCAGATGGGGTAGTTAGAGGCATTGTCAAAACGTTTTAGTGAACGCTACACTTTTTAATGGAAGATAATGGAATAGTCCGCTAACAGTATACGCTAGCAGGACACTAACTCGTAGATGATAGGATGAGCATGAACTCATTGTAGAGATTTCCATGAACCAACACAATGCTTTGCTGGGAGGACCGCGTGGAGGTCGACCTGATATGGTGCATAGTTAGCAATAGTGTCTTTAGAACTATATCAAAAATGCCTTCCTCCCTCGACATTTACTATTATTAAATGGTTCTAAGATGTTATGGAACTGCGGATTTTCTGACATACGTATACGGCGGACCATCACGAGTCCGCGGCCCGCAGGTTGGGAAACACTGGCTCATACAATTAAATACATAAAACATAAATTTACAACGACATTACGATCTCTTGAATAGAGTTATTCTACGTTTATTATTGTGCTTACCGATTTTATGTGGCATTCGATTCAGACTAGTAGCATTATAACATATCTGAAAATAAAAAAGAATCTTCGTTGTACAAGAACGTATCAATTACCTAGGTATGTAAATATTTTTTTGATAAAAGTATACTCTGACAGGATATTACTGGAAAAGATCTTAATATTTATTATTAATGTGAATGAAGGTAATCACCTAGCCCACCGCGGCTATTTAACCAACAATTAACCATGACAGAATCTAGGAAAATGTTTGCCTTATTAATTAAAAGGGATCACTATGCTTGACAAAATAAATTACTGTAAAAATAATCAATTACGATTATTTTCTTGAATTTAACTAAAAATTTACTATGTTGCAACGGATAGTGACAAAATGTAAACTGTTAACTACCTCACACAACATCGGACGAAATATATTGGATAGAGTAAAAAAGCAGGTTTCAAGTCTTCTATTCCAAAAGTAAAACAACACTAGGCTGTACGGTCATACGACAATTGCCTGCTCGATTAAAAAAAAAGATGGAAAGATTAAAAATAAAACACAATGGCATTTTTCAATTTATACAAGCAAATAAAGTTCAAAAATATCCATTCAAATATAGAATAAATTTATTGTACATTTATCATTAATAAAATATTTGAATAAAGAATTTATGTGACTATATAAAACTGCACGGAGGCGTCTTCCCAATACCGGCAACTCGTGCGCGCGCTTTCTTACTATTCTACATTTATATATTTTATCTATGGTTGCATGAATGGCGCTCCCGCCACAATGAGGGAATAAATTAGCCAACCGCTTATTGGAATGTCTGTAGCGTGGACTCCGACGACTCAATGAAGCCTGCGACTAAAAAAGACATGGGAAGCTTATTGATGGCGAATGAACAGTTGTCACAGTGGATTGGTGATTTTACTATAAAAAAATAAGATACTAAAATTATGTGACTAGGATGCAATATTTCAGTTAATATATTATTATTTAGATTGACAGATGGTGCGAGAAAACATATAAAGAACAGTAGAACAGTAGAAATGAAACTTCGACAGACAAGGGGAAATACGAATAGCAACAAAATTGTTACTTGAAATTTTACGGGCAGGTTTTATAATTGGACAAGTACATAAACAATCTGGCGGATCCTTATACGCCTTCGTCCATTTTATCTAAAAAAAAACAAACGAAATCATCTGTACAGTATCTATTATATATTATTGACGGCCTCGGTGATCCAGCAGTCGCGGGTTCGATTCCTCGCACAGTGTAAATATTTGTATTCATAAGTATTATTGTTTGTATCGGTCTGGGTGTTTTCAATGTATATTATGTATGTATTTACAAAAAAATTCTAAGTATTTATATCAGTTGTCTAGTACTCATAACACAAGTTCTGCTTACCGCGGAACTAGATTGCACTGTGCTAATTGTCCAGGGTTATTTACTTATTTATTAGTATACGAAAGTAAGATTATATGTTTAATACGCTTACATATATTAACTGATAACGTCACGATCTTCATCATCTGCTTCTTCATTATCCCATTTATTTGGGGTCGGCGTAATATATTTCTCACATCTCATCATGGATAGTTAGATGAATCTTCCATTCATCCATCGATTCTTCCAGCCTCACTAATCATGAAATGTAGTTTTAACAATAATTCTACTAACAAGAATAAAAAATACGAACGAATATCGATAGGGATTGGTTGCAAACAATTGGATTTATAATTTCGGAGTAGACCCCAAGTATCAGTTCCGACCTTCTACTTTATAGTCTCAAATTGTTAGCTTCATGATTGAGGGGCGGTATTACAATCACTAGTTAACAAGAACTGTTATTACTGCTTTGTATAGTTCAAGATATCTAAGATTAATAGGAACTTGTAGGTACTTGCATATCGCACCTCCACTTGAAGTGTCACAAGTCAATTCAAATAGTCTTACCGTGTATGGGCCTCTTTACATTCTATACATAAGATTAAAGTGTCACAAGTTAATTCAAAATACTTACCGTATATGGCCCTCCTTATATTTCTAAAGCTAAAGAGTCGGAGTGCTTGTACCGCCGTTGGATTGGTAACCAATACATCAAGCATTGGTTACACACCCGGCTGACCTTAAGATGTATGAAAAAAATATCTGTTGTCTTATACATGAACAATACTACAACTGCCTAACATCACGTTATCATGTGACTGTCGTGGATCAGCATGCGTTACCATTCCAGAAGACTAAGATTTCATACCTCTTATACTGTAATTTCACAGCTTACAACACGAAAAGTCACAAACTAAGTTGCTTGTAGGCTTAAGTTGGTAGACGAAAATACAGACAGCCTACAACAGAAATAAAATGCAAAGACTACGTCGTCTTTGAAAATAAGGCAATAGAGATTTAAACATAACATTTGACAGCTTCGGTGATATAGCGGTTCAGCCCACCGGCTTACTTAGAATGGTCGCGGGTTCGTTTCCTCTTAATTGATCTTTTCACGATGTTATAAAATACATATTTTTATATAATTAAGTATTTATTTCTATAAGTTATGTAGTATCTATAACACAAGCTAGCTCTGCTTAACTTAAGACTGGATGACGCTGTGAGAATTTTCTAGGATTATTATTATTATATCTTCCTGTTAAACGACCCATAATACAAGAGAAATCTTTAATTAACGTATCGTAAATTAATATATACATACATAAATATATCAACTAGGCAGTTGATCGTTTAAATAACTCTAATAAAATAAAACACTTTAAGACCAATGACATTAAAATCATCGGCACGATTGCAATTGTAAATTAAAATGCGTAATTTTCAGACTTGTCTCGAAACAAAATTGCTCGCAAATAGGCAATGTCTATTTTCAATGTCTATTTTCTCGCCATGATGTGTTCGCTTAGCATATATTTCCATATAAATAAATGTATTAAAATAGTAGACGTAACGATTATTGCAGAATAAGTTTGTCACCCGCTAAAGGTGCTCTCGAAAGTTGCGATGCAGTGCGATGCGGTGCGGTGCGTTGCGTTGGGTTGCGGTAAGGTTTTTATAAGATTTTTAAGACAAACTTTTTACAAAGTTCACCTAAAGACTTTCTTGCGGTACAGTGCGATAAAATGCGGTTTGTTTTTTATTACATTTTACATTTTCATTATAGTTTGTAACTTTAAATACTCATGGTAATTATAAAATAGGATAAATAGTGGCCTTCTTTCTGAAGGATGTTAGGTAGACTTTGTATAAAGTCGTCGGCGTTCCTACCTCTGTAGCACCTATTTTAGCTGCCAAGTAACTTTTTTATTATTATAAAAGTGTTTGCACTTTGCGCGTGGCCTTACGCGTGGTATTTCCAAAGCGATACGATTTTGAAATCTTCAAGAAAGAGTTTATTCCTTAAGACCTAGCGATAGCACTTGCAATACCCCTGGTGTTGCGGGTGCTCATGGGCGGCGGTAATCACTTGTCAGGTGCGCCGCAAGCACATTTGTCCCCTTATGCTACA